GCTATTTTTGTGATAAACCTTGCCATTTTACGGAAAAATGCAAAAAATAAATTTATGTGACCATTGACGTTGAATAATTTTTTTTTGCAGACGTGAGATCGATGGGGACTTTTGACATTTCATTTATAACTAGTAAATCCGTATGGATTTTAAACCCATATCCATTGATAACCATCGTTTAGTAATTTATTTAATTTATTAGATTTTTTTAATTTAACCTTTTAAACTGGGGTAACCCTCAAACACACCAAAAATAATCTAAATTGTCAAAACAAGTATTTTTTAAATCTCTTTCATTTGACATCCATTTTTTATTTGATGTCACATAATTTGGGTATAAAATATTTAGGTCGACTTCTCAAAAAGGTGGCAACCCTCTTCAAAATATTTCCAAACTACTACCTTCTTAAACCTCTGTTGTCTCACACCCATATAGTAATGCCTTATTCAATTACTAAATTCCTTTAATTAAAATTGAATTACATTTTTTAAACATGTGGCAACCCTCCTACACGTAGTTAACATATAAAGCATTTTCAAAACCATTTCGGTTCATACCCATTTTAAAACAATTGACTTATCTTTTTAAATAATTTTATCTAGATTGCTTTACAGGTGGCAACTCTTTTCGAAAAAGTAAAACCTTATTGAACATTCACACCCTAAGCCGTTTAATTTTGCGGTTCAGAGGGCATTGATTATTAAATAACTTCACTTTAATTATTTACCAGGTGGCAACTCTTTTCTAAAAAGTAAAACCTTATTTCACATCTATAGCCTAAGCCATTTAACTTGACACCCCATTTTCAAAAATCGAACGAACGAATTTTCAGCTTTATGCTAATTATTGCAACCTTGAATGTCTAACTTCTTTTTCTTTATTGGCGCTGTAACCGCCTAGGCGACTTTGGCCGAGTCCCAAATAGCACGCCAGTCATTTGTCTTCTGTGCCAACTGACACCAATCGGAAATGCCAAGTGAGGCCAAGTCCTTCTCCACCTGGTCTTTCCAATGCAGAGGAGGCCCTTCTCTTCCTCTGTTACCAGCATCGCGGCCCGCGTTGAAGACTTTCAGAGCAGCAGCCAAATTGCACCAAGTTGGCAACACTAATTTTATAGTAGATTTTCATAGTTTAATTGGCGATGGTTAACAGATTACTTTTCGTAGATGCCAGACTGTTGGCTAAAAAATAAAACGTTCCCTCTCTCTCTCTCCCGTCTCAATACTTCCTGCGTGGAAAAATATAATATTTCCCTACCTTCCCATTTTGATGATTATCTTATGCGCTGAAACGCTAAAAAGTGCTTGAGGAAAAAAAAACAATATTTACCAATTACTGACAGTAATCAATCGCGAAAGAATGAAAATAGAATAAAATCCAAGAGTGTGCTACTTTTCATTCAAATAAAAGGAAAAAGCAAAATATTAGCTTAGCTTCATATTACCAGATTTCTATGTATGTATGTATTTAATTTGCTGCTTAGCGTTGGCGATTCGCCGCTTGGACGATGTTACGCGCAAATCTAATCAGCTATGCAAGTCACGTTGCCTTGCCGCCGGCAACGCGTAGCAAGCAAACAAATCACAAAAGGCTATAATAAAAAAAAGTTGGAAAAATTAAAAACAAAAACAAAAACAAAAACATACATATTGACCACCAATATTAACAGCGTAGTGAAATTGCATAATTCGCATTCGCAATTCCTTATGAAGCTGTCGCTAAGTAGCCAGCCTTTAAGCGCCCAGCGGCAATAACGTCTACGCTGTACAGCCGTTAACGGTATCAACTATCAACTATCAGCTATCGTCTAGTACGTCATGGCCACCACGTGCCTTTCTGCTTAATACAACTGTCTTTAATGTTGGTAAAAACCAGGTATAAAATAATCCAAACGGGCATGCAAGGTTCTTGCCTATTTCTTTAGCGAAATTATGCAGACGATTGTATATAAATCGCAGCGCTTTCAATTGAACGATAACAAAACGATTTATCCATTCACTTACTAAACACATAACAGCAGCTAAATTTACAAAAAAAAAACATACCACAAAATGTTCAAGTTAGTCGCTTTCGTCCTTTTGATCCTTGCTGCTGTCGTCCGTGCCGAGCCTAAACCCAGCGTGCTGGCGTACTCAGCGCCGGTGGTTGCTGCCGCGCCATCAGCTGCAATTTACAGCCGGGAATATCATGGAAACTTTGCCGCACCATATGTTGCTGCACCCTACTTTGCATCGCCATACGCTGCCTCTCCGTACGTTGCCGCGCCGTATGTTGCATCGCCATACGCTGCCTCACCATACTACGCGTCGCCTTACGCTCCTGCCTACACAGCGCCACTGCTGTTGAAGAAGTAAATGTGATTTCGCTCTTTTAGTGTACTGAATTGTCTGTCTCCTTTTTTTTTAATGTTAACGATAAAAAAGCTTTACGATTTACTTTTCGTAAAACAAAATGTGTTTTCTTTATAAATAAATTATAAAAAATAGTCGCCGTCTGTGTTTTTTATTGTTTTCCTGTTGTCTGTCTGCCAGTGTCTTTCCACTGGTCGGATGATATACATAAATATATATCTTACATATATGTATGTATATAAATTTTGATTGCTCTAGAGTTATTTCTGTTGAAGCGTCTTTAATTTAAGTGGATCGCTATCATATACCGTTATTTGTTGCCCTTCTCAAGGTCTCTTTCTTTATCATCGCGCTGTTACAGCCAGAACGGAAATAAGAAATTCTTTATTTTTATTAAAGTTTATATTAGTGAGACGTCATTGATAAAAATAATGTTTTTTTTGCTTCTAAAGATATACATATGTATGCAGATTAGGGTGGTCCAAAAACAGTAAAGTCGGAATTGTAATGCTCTCACACCCTAAAATTGCTCTATATCGAAAAAAGTATACCCCAATTTTTTTATTTTTAAATTTAAAAAATATTTAGAGGTCGCTCAAAGTTTTCCTTGTATTTTTATATGGAAAAAATAAAATTTTTCGTAGAAATCGAATCGATCGGAAAACTTCGGTTCTCTTCAGGAGACTTTCAATAACAATATCCAATTGTTAATTTAACCATTTTTTAATACTAGCGATTTTTTTATTGGTCCCCCATTGCATTTTTCGGGAGTTTTGTGGGTTTTTGGCGAACCTATAAATTATAGTTGCGATGAAGAAATGGTTAAACAAACAATTGGGTATTATTATTGGGAATCTTCTGCAGATAAACCGAGATTTTTGGTAGACAAATATTGATTTTAAACTATTCTATACCATCTCTAAGAAAAGTTGTTTTTTCCCCATAGAAAATACATGGCAAACTTTGGGCACTTTGAGCGACCTCTACATTTATTTTTTTTGATTTCAAAATAAAAAATAAGGGTAAATTTTTTCGGTATAGAACAATCCTAGGGGGTGAGAGCATAAAAGTTCCGATTTTACTTTTTCCACATGCATTTTTGGAACACCCTAATATATATACTCGTACACCCATGTACACATTAGTACGCATTTATTTGTAATTATATTGCAAGTAAATTATTTGCAAATCGAGCTTGATGGGCCGCTCTTATCAGCAGTTCACTCGTTGGCCATAAATTTACATTGTGCTGCTTAGGAGAAAGAAAAATTCATCAGACCTACAACCCAAACTTTTGGCGAGTTCAAACATTTGCTTTGATGAAACTGTACCTGATAAAGATCGCGTATTATATGCCGAGCATTTAATGGTCTTTAGTTCAGTGGCTCATTCGTATTTCCGTATTTTCGTACACGTATTCGTATTCGTATTTTCGCTACTCGATCATTGCCTAACGTAAACTTGTCACCTCTGGATTTAGCGATCAAAGAGAAGGCAATGGAAATAATGTGATAACTGGATTCTTTTAGATTGTGGCATGACGATCGGAGTTCCAGGCCCATAGAAGCTTGTCAGAGCAGTACCCAGATAATTACAATCCGATATCTGGAGTCTCCTCTGAAAGAAAGTACGTCGTTAGCTTTCCTACAATAGAGCAGTTGAGGGATCCAGACGAAAAATTTCTTCTCAGCCAGAGGCCTGGTAGTTGACAATTACGTTGCACAATCCATGGGGACAACATATGTTGACCATTGGCTTTATCGACGATCCGCTGTATACATCTCGTTTGGAGGATGAGCACAGTACAGAACATTTTCTTTGCCGCTGTCCGGCCTTCGCCAGATTTAGATGGCACAATTCTGGGCCGGATGTATTGAGAATGGACCATCGACAGTCGGGTAAGTTTGCAGAGGAGAAATAAATTACATGCTTGAACCGCATTTCGAATATTCTTTTATGAAACATACGGGGGGTTTCCGTACTTGGGTGCTTAACCCCCTGCATGCGCGACTATACAAAGGTCTTAACGAACCAAGAGGTAATATTGTACATATATTCGGAAGCTCTTAACTTCTAGGTACAATACCTAAGGGGTCACTGTGGTTGAGTGGTTGGAGGTGCGCATTTTCACTCCTTGAGTAAAGAGTTCGATTCTTAGTCCGAGCAACAGCCAAGCTAAAAGTTTTTACTAAAAGCTTTCCCCTCCCTGAAGGCAATGGCAAACCTTCGAGAGTATTTCTGCCTGAAAAAGCTTCTCATAAAATCCATTTGGCATTGAGGGAGCAGCGAAAGTATGACAAAACGCTCTGTCACTATCTACAAGAATTATAAGGAAAAAAGGATTTTCAGAGTATAAAGTCAAAACATGGCACATAAAAAAGGTATTTTCATTTGAAATAAAATATGGACAGAACCCGCCCCTAAATAGGACATCCTTCATATAAAAAAAGTCAGAAAACCGTAAATCACTTTTTATGAAGGAAATTAAAAATACTTTTTATCAGCACAAAAAAAATTCTGCACATCAATTCTGCGAAGATTTGTTGTGGTGCGACGAAAATAATTTGCATGTAGACTGGATTCAATAAAAATTCAATAATATTTGATAACTCGTAGTTATAAGGATATTTTGATTTTTCTATTGGATATTTTATTTTTTCTTTTTTTACATATTTTGTGCAAAACACACTTATTTTTTGGTTTGTAAAGAATTCACCAAATATTAAAAAGCCTTAATTACATCTATGAAGTAAGTTATATATTTTCTATCACTAATTTAAATAAGCACACATAACATATTCTTTGGTTTCAGCACCAGTCCGTCTTCCGCAGCAAATCTGCTCCTTAATGCTCTACATTCGAGTTAACGGTGGCGCTTGAATGAAAAACTATGCTCGCGCCACGTCTTGTAAAGTAATCGCGTCTTTTGATTTTCCACGCATACACTGCCACCACGCCGATCAACAGCACAATCATCGCCAACAAAGCGATCTTCATCAACAGCAAATACACCTCCAGACGTTGCTCGTGCAAACGCAAAGTATTCATCGACTGTTGCAGCACCTTCTGCAACGAAGTCATATCGTCCAATTCGTGCTCCACCTCCTGCAACGAGGCTCTGTCCGTCGCCATACTACTGCTAATGCAAGAGACGTCACGTATGTGCGCACGCTCGGCGGCGCTCTCCTCCGGTTCGATGTGCAGCATCACCGAGGTGGATAGTTGTGGCGGCACGAGCAGCGTGTGCAGGTAGGTGCAGTTGAAGCGATTGCGCGATACGCCCAGTTTGGAGAGATTCGGAAAGACATAGGAGAAGCCACCCTTGCCCTGCACCTCTGTCAGATTATTGCCATCGACGAAAAGGTAGCGCAGGTTGGACAAATATGGCACAAATATATCCAAATTGAGTTCAGTTAAATTGTTGTACGATAAATCGAGACTCTCGAGGCTGAGCTGCTTGGAGAGCATGCCGAAGGTGAGGCGCTGCAGACCGATGGCGCGCAAGGAGAGCATGCGCAGTCGCTTTAGGCGATCAAAAGTGGTGATATTGACCGGTCCAATGGGATTGTTGGACAAGTCGAGCTGCAGCAGGCCGGTGATGTTTGTAATATTTGCGATATCACTGAGATTGTTGGAGCCCAGCAGCAGCGTTTCCAAGAAGAGTGTATTGATCATTTGCACCTCAGCAATGCGATTGTGATCGGCGCGCACGTACTTTGTACCGTTAATGAAGATGCGCGTTAAGTTATTGTAATCTACTTGCAGCTGCGACAGAATACTTTTATTGCCCAGCTCGAATTCTGTTAAGTTATTTGAGGTTAACAGCAGGCTCTCCAAACCGTATGCCGCTTGAAAAGTGTCAGGATGTACGCGGTAGATGTTGTTGTAGGACAAGTTGACATCGTTTAGACGGCGCAACCGATTAAACACTTCCGGCTCAACGTACTCCAAGTGATTATTGTTTATTGCTATCGCCTCCAGATACTGATTCTCCAACAGCAGATCCTTCGGTAGTTCACGTATCGAATTATATGAAAGCTGCAGCTTATCCAAGCTACTCAAACCCCGGAAAGCGTTCTCATTCAGCAACTCGATGTGATTGTGGCTAAGATCGAGTCGCATCAAATTGCTAGCGCCCATAAAAACGGATGTGGTGATTTGTGTAATATTGTTATTGCTCATATTAAGTACGGTCAAGTTGCCTGCGGCGCCGAAAGTATTGCGTGGCACATCCAAAATCTCCGTGAAGGACACATCCAACGTCTTCAGGCAGGCGAACACATCGAACAGCTTGAAAGGGACATAAAGTAGACGCGAATCGTAGAATTTCATAAATTTCGTATTATTTGCCTTGGCGTACTTTTGTATTTTCACAATTTGACTGTGCGATACGACAAAACCGGAAACCGTGCAATACGCCTCACTCGCGGACATCTCGTACATCCGCTCAAATTCATCGCATTTCAGTGTAATATCTTCGGTGGCGTCGGCGATGTGCGTTGAGAGTAGGCCACTCAATGCTAGCAGAAGGATAAAGAGCCAATGGATGCGATTTGCTATTCGCGACATTTTCACGAGTGGAACACACTTTCGAGGCGACCGTTTTAATACAACTAAATCCCATAACTAAGTTGAAGGCAACGCAATTGAAAATCTGTAAGTCTGCAACGTCTCGAGCGATCAAGGAAGTGGATGTAAGTTTGCAGATATAGGCTTGTGCATTAATTGTATGTACATATATATGTATGTATGTATATATGTTTGCATGTATGTATGGATGATCGCCTTAATATAAGCCAATGCATTTTTATCGGCTGCTGCTCAGCGCATGCAATTGAAAGATAAGTTCAAAGCGGCACATAGTACTGGTGTATGTTTGTATGTATATAGTACAATGTTCATTGCACATATGCTTGTCTTTATGTGCATAAAAGTATGTATGTACTTGGACGACTTGCAAAAAAAAAACTGTCGATAATATAACTAAATATACGCTTGAGAAGGCTCGAAAATAACGGTATATGCACTCGTTTGTAAATATGTAAATGAATATGTCTTGTATACTCGCACTTATATATAAATGAATCTACTCGCACGCATACGATATTTATAGATTATAAAATTTTGTAATGTAAAACTTTTTTTTAGTCTTAGCTAGCATTGGAATCAGCTAGCAATGCATCCCATAATTAATTTAAACTGAGATATAATATTTAGATTTAGGCTATCGTTTATTGCCAATAAACTTCGTGCATTCTTCTTCTTCTTTAATGGCGCTCTAAACGCCTAAGCGATTTTGGCCGAATCCAAAACAGCACGCCAGTTATTTCTCTTCTGTACCAACTGCCACCAATTGGAAATATCAAGTACCTAGTACTTCATAATACCATCTTTCGGGCCCAGGCGAAGTCGATCAGCCTCAATCCGTTATCGGACGTTTCGTCGTGGAGGCTGAGTTTTCCGACAGTGGCGCCAAATATACCCTTCTTGCCCACCTTGGCGTTGAAGTCGCCGGTCTCCAAACGGTGATAAGTATAATTTTTGTGAGCTTGTGTTTAATTGTTAGTGCCGCTTGGCCCTTATTGTTGTTGTCCAATTCTAAATTTCGTTCGTCTTAAATAGCCTTCTTGTTCCCCCAGTAGCAACCCCGCCGTCTTTACTGAGCCAGCCGGCAGATTGGTTTCTTGTCATTTCCTGATTTTATGTGTGCCGTAGTTATTCTATACCCCTCCGTCCTGTGCGGTTCCATCCCTGCTTAGCTTTTGTGTAGTAAATTGCGATCATTTGTTTTCTATTTCCCTGTGCAAGGCGCCCATGCCCAGCTCGTTAGACACGTTTAGTCTTGTTTCGAAGCATGAACAATGTCGTATCTTCCCGAAATGCAAGTTAAATACAATTGCCTTCATATGGGCTTATACCTTTACATATTACACAGTTTCGAAAACTTTCTTCATTTTCTCTTGGACGCTACTGCATCTTAAAAGCTCCGCTCACAACTGCTGGAAAATCGATGCCTGAATCGACATTTTGTGGCATTTTTGTTGCCAACCTGATAAGATTAAGCATCTGCTCATAGATTCCACGAGAGGGAGTTATGAATCTTTTGGACTGTCTTTTTTCCTTTGCCGTGCGCCATTGGGTTGCGATTTGCAAGTTCTCCCATGCCCTTGGTAGCTCTGTCGTGTATCCTCTGGAAGGACCATAGAAAGGCTGAGGGCCGAGCAGGCTCTGTTGGGTAAATACCGCATTTCATTAGAGTGTCAGCGCTTTCGTTGCCATTGAAGCCCTCATGGCTCTGAACCCACCACAAGGTTACACTGTTATTGGTTCCTAGTTTTTCCAGTACCTTTGTGCAACTGTCTACCAGCTTTGACACCGTCTTGCAAAAGTCAAGTGCTCTTAACGCTGCCTGGCTATACAACATGATGTTTATTTTTGCCCCATTACTCCTTCTGAGATGATATTCGTCGACATGGACTTCAATTGCTTGCGAAGGGTTCCGCCTGCTTTATGGTTGAGTGTATGCTTTTTTGAAATCTAGGTCCAGAAACGCCGGCGCCAGTGTTGCCATCCTTTAGTTTGGAACCATCAGTAAACGTATCCCTTCCAGGTATATTCGCTTGTAGGTGTTTATACAGGTAAAAGTTTTATTATAGGATCATTTATGAATGAATTTAGGACACCCAAGTCTATCCCTGTCCCTGTTGGCCTTACCTCTTTTGGTAAATGGGATGATGACGGACTTCATTGGGTTAACTGACATGCCCTTTTCAGTTTCCTAGGGTTACGTTTAGAGCAGACTGCAACCTGGAGCATAAGGTCCCCTGATCTCAGCCTGCCACGTAGATAATAAGGTCATCAGCAGTATCCATATGCATTAAAGCTACTCCCTTTGAGTCTTTCTTAAAGTTCGTCCACAACCAGTGTCCGCAATATGGTAGAAAGGACCCCAGGAGTCGACGGTACCGTTTGCCTACCCTACCCTCTAGTTCGACTAAGTATTATGGTTCTGAATTTCAGCATGCTTATGACCCAGTCGGTTATGTGTTTAGGATTGTCCTTCCTTGTCATACCCTCAGATTATTGCTTCGTACGATGCTTTATCAATAGATATAATTGTGTGTAGTCAATAGAACTAAGCCTCCAAAGCTGAATGCATTTCTCTCTGTTAATTGCGAAAATATTCCACTTTACTGAGAGAAATCAGAGAGAGTGTTTCATTTCAGTCTCATTTTGGTTCACGGTAAAAACATAGCTCATCTCTTACTCATTAGAGCTTTTCGAGTAATATTTAATAACACAAACGGCCTGCAATATCTTTCGATGCATTAAAGGCTACTACACATACCCAGCTTTAGTCAATATGAAGTCCTCATATGACATTATTTTCTTTGAGTTGGTTACGGTACGTGTTTGCAATAAACATTCACTGTACAAATTATACGACATTGAAAATGTAGAATTCAGTAGCAGACCACAACAACAGTAGCTGTTTAATTTGTTGCTCGCATGCAAACGTACATATGTACTACATAATACCTGTGTATGTATGTATGTATATGCATAATGAGTGCACGGACTTCGAAAAAATTGATAGTGATAGATTTGACGTACAAAATATGGTAGAAGTTGGTGGATATTTTTAAAAGCAACGTTAAAAGATAGTTACTACTCAAATTGGATAAATTAAGGCAAATAAGGTGGTGTTAGCAGAGGAGCTGGATTTTCGACTCGGTGGCTCTTAATGACAAAACTGCGAAAACCTGTACTGAAACTCGATTTACAGCTTATTTGTCAGTTTTATTGTGGCTTATTAATATTTTTTTCAGTAGTGTTTTTGAGCTTTGTACTACCAAGGTGGTAGCACTGTTGCCAACTTAGTTCTTTTCTTAATTCAAAACGCGAAAATTTTTGAGTTTGGTGCTTGGTGCGTTTTTTGGTGCTTTTCTTTTTAGTTTGAAGACATCAAAACTGTAAATCTGAAACAAAAATGGAAAGGAAAAAATGAAAGGAACTTTACAAAAATGGGGAAAAAATGGTGTTACAATGACAATCATAAACGAAAGAGCATATGTTAAAAAAAACATATGTGGCAGCACTTTCAATCATGCCAGAATTACATACGGTAATTTGCCATTACCTGCAAAAACGTCCATGTTGCTGGGACCAGGAATCGATCTTAAGACATTTAATTTGGGCAGAATTTGTTATAAATATTTTTTACGAATATTAAAAAAAAGCACCAGCATCTCCTAACAGTGAAATGAATAACGAACCTTCGACCGTCGAGTAAGTAACATTAATTTTTATTAATTTGAATCGGCATACCAACAATAAAATTTTGTATGCATAAAAAGTCCATTAAATCCTCCAATAAATAATTTGGTGATTTTTTCGAGAAAAAACGCGATTTTCCTTGGGTTTTAGTGCATTTCTAAATTCAAAACTTGGCAACACTGGGTAGTAGACCTACCAATAAAGTGGTGGAGTCCGTGCACTGTGCACAATGCACATTCTTGCCTCAGCTGCTCACCACTTGTGCGCTACAATACGACTCCCGCCGCCCCATTTCGCTATAAATCAGTCACTCAGTCAGTCATGTAGTCAATTTGGCCGGCTGGCACTTGTAGTTGGCTTACAATTTGTATTTGCGAACACGTACGCTGGCAATAGCCACACACACACACACACACAAGCTTATTGTGACTTGTGTCCAAATCATTGCCAACCGCCCGTGCATGCAAAATTCATGCCACCCCACCGCCACAGCCCTTGGTCGTTGGTCGTTGGCAGTGGCTACATACTGAAGTACGTTCGTTGGCTACTGATAAATGGATTTTTTTGATGTACAAAGTCGTTTTTTGGATCAAAGGCCTGTGTTCTGTAGAACAACGACCAGCAAAACAAGGCGAATAATGCGGCTGACTTGAAACAACAAATAGGTAAAAGAAAAAATAAAACACAAAAAATGTTTGCAAAACGCGCAAATATCACAAAATGCAAAGTAGACCAATGTTGGCAATATTAAGGCAATTGAAATCAAAAGTGTGCTACGTTTAAATGTTGATAAGCTTACTAAGTATATATGTGTATATCAGCACATCTGTACATACTCGTATAAAGTACATATGTATGAATCTTCAATGGAATAAAACGAATTTTAGGAATTTAAATATTTTGGCGGGCAGATGGATCGCACTTCTTCCATTTACTGGCAGGCGTTGACAAATTACTGCTGCCCCTCCTTTGTATGTTACTTAGTAAGTATAAAAGATGCCTCAAATTTTTTATAGAATCGTAGTACAACTTCGGCTTTTCGCTAGTAAGCAACTTCTGCAGCAACACAAAAATCAACAATCAAAATGTTCAAATCGGTAAATACATATTGCCGGAAATATTTTACATTTTTCAATATGGTTTTTTAACATTTTCTTCTTCATCTCTTCCTTTACAGTGCATTCTCTTCGCTGTTCTCGCCTTCGTCGCCTACGCCTCAGCTAAACCGGCTGTGGTCGCTTACTCTGCGCCCGGTGTTGTGACCGCCCAAAGTTCACAGTACATTGCACGCAATTACAATGGTGTTGCTGCCGCACCCGTCGTGGCTGCCGCATACACTTCCCCCGCCGTAGCTGCTGCACCAGTTGCTGCCGCATACACCGCACCAGTTGCTGCCGCTTACACCGCACCAGTTGCTGCCGCTTACACCGCTCCAGTTGCCGCCGCTTACACCGCCCCAGTTGCCGCTGCGTACAGCGCCCCAGTTGCTTCGTATCCTTCGTACGCCTCTTACTACCCCTACAACGGCGCTTACACCGTGGCATTCTAATTGACCGATTAAATGGAAAAATATGACTCAGGGCTGCTGCAACAAGTGGACAAAAGCTTAAAAAGGCAACTAAATTGGATTCTCGTTAAGGAAAACGTATTGCTTTGCAAACACATTTTCATTTTCTTTATTTTTGTAATCATTTACATATTTAGTTATGTAGGCAGTTTTTCGCTACATAACTGCTTTGTTGAAGATTTTCTAAATGGCATAACAATAAATTCCCCGAAATTGTTGACCAAAAATTGTTTTAGTCATCTTTAATAACTGATGTTGTAGAATTTATGCTAATTGCATTTAAGTGGCCTTTTTTCGCATGGCTGGGAAATTTTATTGCCACATTAAATTTTTTTTTTGGATATTAATAATTTCAAGAATTGATTAAATAAACTCTCCTGTACTGGAAATATTCAGTGCGGATTCCGCTGCTGGTAGCTGAGGAATAAGAAGGCCTTCTCTGTGAGGGAAAGCCCAGGTGGAGAAGAACTGGCGTGCTTTATTGCGCTCGTCCAAAATCGCTTAGATGGTTATAGAGCCAAATAAAATTAAAAAAATCCCATTGATCACATTTAATACTGGATAGAAACAATTGTGAAAGAGCTAAAGGGCTGCTCCAATGAAAAACGAAATCAAAATTATTTTTTACATCAGCTCTCAGCTTTCAAAATCAAATGCTCTTATCAAGACGAATTCATACAAGCTGATAGCGGGAGCATTAAAACAAAAAACTGCACTAAAAAATTATACGCACTTTGACAATCAGAGCACAAAAAATTTACAAAAAACACATCATTCTGGCAATCAGCAAAATTCACCTTGAAATCAGCTGCTTCGGTAATAAAAACCTTGTATGAATTCGCCTTGGTATATTTATTTCTTTAACAAGACTTACAGCAAAAGCAAAGCAATTTTTCAAGCAAAAAAAAATTATGAAAAATATTTTGTGTGATTTTTTTTGGGAGCTGCAAGTAGCTTTTGATGGAGTACAAAAAAGCTTTCACACCTTCATATGTTCGTTGCTTGCTCTATTCGATGTTTATAGACAAAAATATCTAGCGATGGTTAACAAAACACGCTGCAAGCCTCTATTAGATGTTATCTCATTACTCTACCAATATCAACGTAAAATAGACTGCCCCTTTTTAAAGAGACCCAACAAACATTTAAGTCGGAAAACGATCAGAAAACGATTCGAATCCTAATTTGTTTCTTTAAGGTGGGAGGATAAAAGACGATTCGTGAAACTCTCGAGAATTATATCAGGCTCCATAAAACCTAGTTATCGATATCTAAGTGTATTTTAACGCTGAATTCTGATTGGTTACTAATGTCCAGGGAACGGATTTTTAGGACCTAAAAACCTATAAAAAATCAAAATATAGGCAGGAAAAAAGGCACTAGAAATAGCAAAAAAAGGCACTAAAAAAAACAAAAACTTAAAAATATCACTGGTTTACAGGAAAAATGTTCAACGGACGCCACTACCTATCCAATTCCTATATAGAATTGCTCGCTGATTTCGAAAGTCGAGTTAATTTTTAACCGACTTCCAAAAAAGGAGGAGGTTATCAGTTCGTCGGAATATTTTTTTATTTTTTATTTTATGTATGTTACCGCATAACTTTGGACCACGTCAACCGATTTCGATAATTCTTTTTGCATCGGAAAGGTAGTGTCTCAGAGGTGGTCCCGTACTAATCTGGTTAAGATCCGATCAGCGGATCATGAAATATATATATATATATATTTTTTTATATGAGAGTTGAAGTCGGTTTTTTTTTGCTAAAATTTACTTGTTTATTCTATTGATTAGTTTTCCAGATATTTTCAGGTGTACATGGCGTATGAGTAAAACTCTTTCCTGCAAAAGGCAAATATCTTAATAAAGGCAACATGAAATGTGTGTATGTGGAATCAGGGAAAGCTAAATCGTGGATATTCTTAATCGAATCTACTCTATCTCTTTAGCAGAAAAAAATGCAATTTCCATAAAATCCATTCTCCTCCAATGTCTAATAGTTTTCTAATCATTCTCTAGTCGAATTCTAACATCGTTTTCTTAACTGATTTTTGATACGAGAAACATTAGGAAATCGTATTACATATTACGCCAGTTCATACAATGTGAAGTTAAATCCTTCCTAATTTGGTTCTTTCATTGTGTTTTTTTTAGATGCAATTTTACTTATTTTTTGAGTTTTGATTACGTACAAAGAAAATATTTATCGTTGTACATTTTTAAGTTTAAAGGATTTAGCTAAACTTAGGGGACGCTTTTAACATTTTTTCGGTGGCACATACATTCGGCAATAATATTTTAATTTTAAATAAATAGTTCCACTGAAATAGTTGAAATATTTCCATAGCTAAAGTTTAATGATTTTTGCCGAGCTTTAATTTATTGATATTAAAGTATAAAGCGAACCAAATCGCTGAGCGAATAAAAAATTCAAAATAAATCTATTCTCACCGAATTTCGTCTGACGAACTTCGTCGTCGCTTTGTTTGTGTGCAATGTCATCTACTGCAGTGTATTTTAATTGTGACTGCGAATTTTATTCTTCGTTCAGCTATTTGATACAGTGTATACTTTTAGGTTGGCATGTTAGGGTGATGCGAATTGAGATTTGGTGGGTAAGTGCGGGAACGGAATACTTAAGGTCAATGAACTTTGGGTTAATAAAATGTGGTTGTTGTTTGTTGTTGGTTTTGTGTTAATATTATCTTTCACTATGTTTAACTTTAGGTGTGCTCGTCCTTAAGTTATTTGTATTTTTTTTTCATTTATGTTAGAGGGTGTTTTTTTTTCTTCCTCCATATAAGATTAGATATTGCTCGTGCGTTCTATGAAGAAAATGCTTAACAACCTCTACCAAAAAAATTTACAAAAATCAGCGTTATTTTTTAGCTATTTTAAACTTGCACTTTATTATACTAAAATTGAATGGGTTACAAAACTGCACACCCGAAAAGTTGGTAAAATTCTTAAAAAAAAGTTTGAAATTTTTATAAAAATTTTTCAAGTTTAATTAATTTTTGAGAACTTCTGAAACTTGTGAAATTCTGAAATTCTGAAAAAAAAAATTTTTAATTTTGAAGAATTTTTTTTTTCCTGACATCGTAGTTGAACATTTTAACGATCCCGTACACTTTGTTCACTGAAAGCGAAGGCATGACTAAATCCGGAAGAATTTTTGGAAATACCAACGGTCAATTTAGAAGCCAAATTTATCCAAATGAATACCGAGAATGTGACTAGAAAGCCAAATACATTTTTAATAGGCCGATTTGTTTTTTGCAAGCCATCGAAATAATGATAAAATTGCCAATGAAAAATCAAATAAGGAAATCAGCAACACTTATTCAGATTATACATACCTATGTATGTATGTATGTCCATACGTAACTCACAGAAAATTCAAATTATACGACTGAGTAAATACATATTTATGTGCGAATTTGTATGTATGTAGATTAGACTGCATCACCAAAAAAGTTGCGGTTTTCCGCATGGACTACAAAATTTATTATATTTTAAGAAGTCCACCAAAATATTTCGGAAAAATATTAAGATTTACCTGAGCTGGACCGATTTGAAAATACCTACAAAAATGGTGATTTTTTTATGAATAAAAATATTTTCTTGAGGAATTTTTAACCGACATCCAAAAAAGGAGGAGGTTATCAGTTCGTCGGAATATTTTTATTTTTTTTTTATGTATGTTACCGCATAACTTTGCACCACGTCAACCGATTTCAATAATTCTTTTTGCAACGGAAAGGTAGTGTCTCAGAGGTGGTCCCATACTAATTTGGTTTAGATCCGATCATTGGATCATGAAATATATATATATATTTTTTTTTTTAAAGTCGGTTTTTTTTGCTAAAGTATTTTTGTTTGAAAAAAATTTCCTCAGATGACAAGTTTTCTTATACCAATCTTTGAAAAAAAAAATAAAAACAGCATTAAAAATTTCATTATTACGATTCCGTTCAAAAATTTGTTTACATATTTTTTAAATATTTTAATGCAAATTTTTTTTAGCTTAACCCGTTTTTTTTAAATCTTTAAGAAAATACTTTTATTCATAAAAAACTCCATTTTTGGAGGTATTTTCAAATCGGACCAGCTCACGTAAATCGTAATATTTTTTCGAAATATTTTGCTGAAAGTCTTAAAATAGAATAGATTTTATAATTCCAATGGAAACACAGTACCGATTTTTTTTTTTGTATGGGAAGTGTGATGCGGTCTAATGTAGATATATTTTTAACGTATAGTCATTTGTAGGAAATTTGCGAATTCCGAGTAAAATGAGTCTATTAAATTCGCAGGCATGAAAATTGGAAACTTAAATACACAGTAAATAATTATATGTATGTACGATAACACTCGAATGAGCACAAAAACACTTGGCAACAACAATAACAAGTAATTTGATATAATTTTAATTGATAATTAGCTGCGAAACAAGATCCAAGTAAACTCTCAGCAGCTCAGCAACAATTTGTGGCGGCGCCAGTGAGGTGTTGTAACTTCATTTGAAATCCAGTTAATGGCAGCAGAATGGATGATGGTGTTGTTGTTGTTAGTTTTGATGAAGGCTGCTGCGCTGTGGCCTGCGAAGAGCACTCCAAGCAGGTGTTGTTGCAGTTAAGCGAGGATGAAGTTTTGGGTCGACATGTAGCGGGGAGGGATGATTGTTTGTGTGCTGGCACCACAACGCTGTCGCTGCCGTCGTTCTCGTCCGTTAGACACTCCGGTAGGCAACAGTCGGTGCAATTAAGCGCGGATACATTGCCGCCGATATATGCTGCACCGTGAACCCATTGTAGTTGCTGGCGAATGGGGCAAATGCCGGTTGAAAGACGACAGAAGGGAACGCGCCGCGTGGGAGTGGTGCAGCAGCAGCCAGCAACGGCGGACGTGGTCCAAATCCGGGCAGATGAGCAACAACACCCGGTGGCGCAGGTGCAGCAGCAGCAGCACCGGGCGGTGGCGCACGATGTTCCGGTGGCACATCGATCGTTTCCGCTGCATCGGCGAAATTTCCCGGCGTCGGCGTGGCTGCAGCACTGTGTTGTCGTAGCAGTAGCAGCAGCAGCACCTGTAGTGGCAGCATCACGAATATCCTGGGCATGCTGCTCATCTACGAATTTCAAATAGCTTACAAGTGATGACTTCTCCTTCGAGGTTCTGGCGTTGTTGTTTTTGTGATGCAAAAAGTTGCCAAAGGTTTTATGTTGTGCAATGTTGTTGTTGTGATTTTCGTTACGATTTGGCTCAATCGAATTGGTGTTCTTGATTTTGGAATGCTTCTCGTGACGATTTTGTAAATGTAAAAAACTTACAAACTTGAGCATTTTTTATACGCTTTTGTTCGCTCTGCGCTTACCGTGCGACTGGTGTTCAATGCGAAAACAGTGAATTCGAAAACCATATGCCAGCCAATAAATGTTGCTGCCAGCATTCAATCAAAACCAAATGAAACAGGGGGAAAAAGTATTGAATGTTTTGTAATTTAATTTCGTTTTCGTTTTATTTATTCATGTGTTTATGTGGGTGTGTGTGTGTGCGTGTGTGCATGTAGAATTAACACGTAATAATGCAATCTACATACATACGTTTGTATGTACGTACGAGTATGTATATGGAGGAAATTACATACAATTACTGTGTAGCATTGTTGGTTGCCTCTCAAATTGTCATTCCATGCGCGGTTCTCTGTTTATATCAGTTTCTGTTTTGTAGTCTTTACTCTGCTCAGTCGAGGTTGCTTTTAAGGTTCTTTTTAACTAGTGGCCAGTGCATTGTTATAAATTTAGAATAAATAGTTACATATTTACATATATGATGTGCGCATAAATAAATCGGCATATGGCAGTGTTACACAAACATTTCGTTTTACGGTGCCCGTTTGGCTTTTTGAAATTAACCTTCACAAAGAAAAAAAATGCTACCTTTAAACTTATTGGGTGTCACGAATTAACAAATTTATAATAGATTCGCTTGAGCGTTGAGGTGCAACCTATCGACCCCTAATCGTGAAAATAGCGTAACAGAAATTTTGTAAAATTTACTTTTTGATGCAGAAATGCGCTCAACAGCCCTAAGAGCGTTTCTGCATCAAAAAGTAAATTTTGTAAAAAAAATGTCGTTTACGTAATTTTCGCGGCAAGAGCTCAATATATTCTATGGAAAAGCATTCATATATGTAATTTGAACTACACTGGACATGGATCTAATGAATGCTAATTCCTAAAGTGCAGCTTATAGGAATAATACCTTAATCTTAATATCAGTACCATTCTCAATCTAAATCTAAATCTGAATCTCCTTCTGAATCTGAATCCTAATCTGAAACTTAATCTTAATTTAAATCTTAATCTTAATCTAAATCTTAATGTTAATCTTTAATCTTAATCGCAATCTTAAGCTTAATTTTAATCCTAATCTTAATTTTAATCTTAACCTTAATCCTAATCTTAATTTTAATCCTTTATCTTAATATTTGTGTTAGTCTTAGCTTCACCTCAATCTGAATCTTAATTTTAATCTTAACCTGAATCTTAATCCCATTCTCAACCGAAATGGCAATCTTAATGTAAGTAGTAATCAAAACTAGTGTTCAAGAAATTTTGACATCTGATATTTCATAGCCTGCTGTCTCACTTTTTCCTTGCGAACTAATGAAACGGGCATATAAATGGAGAATAAAGAGTATTAAAAAAATTTTAATTCAGTTTTGAAATGAAATTAATCCGCATTATTTTTAGCAATAGTAAAAAAGTGACAACTAAATCGATACACCGCTGGAAATATCAAATTTTGAATTCCGTCGAAACCTTGAAATAAACTGACAAAGGAACAAAACATTCAGCTACTAATTTATTTACAAATGTTTTATTGTTTATTTAAGCCCTTAAAATTGCTTTCGATTTATATGCATACAATTTTTCAAACAGGTTGCAACCCTCCTCAAAAATATTTTCGGCAGTAAACTTTCCTAAGCCCCTTCAGCTTAATATCCATATTGCAATATTAACTTTATCTTATTATTAAATTAAAATAAAATTTTCAAACAGCTGGCAAGCTTCAGCAAAATTATTTTCGACCGTAACCCTTCTTAAACCTCTTCCATTTGATATCCATATTGCAATATGATATTTATCTTATCAAATTACATAAACTGCAATTTTCAAACAGGTGGCAACTCTCTATTTGTTTTCATTTTATATATAAAGTTACATTTCTAGCAATACATAATGAAACCTTCATTCAATTCCTTGCATTTGTTTTCGAGTGATGCGCGTACAAACATACAGACAGATTGACAAAAATTCTAAAAATTGTTGATTTGGCTTCTATTGCTCTAATAAGGACCCCCATATTAATTTTTTTTTTTTAATATGTATAATGTACAGACATCGGCCAGTTACAATTTTATTATATGCATAGATGTAAGAATACTATCTACTCATCATTAAACTTTTGCTAAGGTTTCATTTTACTTACATAAGTGGAAATTGTTAAGAAACACTGTCTTAAACTAGGTCTCCATTAAGTAAGCTAGTAATATAATTATTCAGTTCTCGTAATGTAATGAATATCATGGGCATAAATTGAAGAAGCAGTATTTCTAGAACTAAATGTAAATAAATATATGTATATACATATATGCATAACTATACAGTGGCGAAACTACAACTAGGGACGATACATTTTTTCATTCTTTGGCTATTTCTTTTTCTATTATTAAATTTTTTTATTTTGTATAAAATTTAGCAAAATTTGAAAAATTTTCATAAAAATTTCGAGTTTTTTTTATTAGATTTCTAAGAAATATTCTGAGTTTGCATTTTGTAGCCCAATCAATTTAAGTAAAACAAAGTGCAAATTTTAAGTTGCTAGGACTTACCGTTGATTTTGGGCGATTTTCTTTTTTTAAAGGTGTTGCTCATTTTCTCAATACAAAAAAACATGGTCGAACATACTTTGTATGTGGAGGAAAAGGCGCGAACAACAAAAATTGCCAAAAATCAACGGTAAGTTCTAGCTACTTCAAACTTGCACTTTATTGTACTAAAATTTAATGGCCTACAAAAGTGCATACTCAAAACAGTTGTAAAAAAATCTGATTTAAAATTTTAATCAACATTTATCGAAATTCGTCGAATTTTTAAAAATGTTCTACAGAGTTTGAAATTTTGATTCACATGGTTTTTTTTAGCTAGTAAGTTTTGTTTCCACAAAAAAATAATACAAATTTTTTAATCAAAGAAAAGAAGCTAAAAACTCGCTAAACTGTCTTTTCCCTATTTACCTTCTCGCCATTTATTTTCTGTGCTAAATACGCTTA